AATCGAGGCCGATCGAATGGCATACGAATCAGAGCTTCATCTCTTAACACAAAAAACTAGATCGCTTTTTGCGGCGAGGCTTCGCTTCGAAGCTATGCTTGTACCCCAGTCATCGATTCTCATATAAGAATCAGATACGAAACTTGTAAGAAGCATGTAAGAACCTTATAAGAGTAACGTACGAGTTTTGCTGACTCTTCTCAATGTCTTATGAATTCTTCTGAGATTCTTATAAGATTTCACAAATATTTTTTGTCTAGGGTAAATGAATTTTTCTTGCAATGACTTTATCTATGGAAACCTTCGAAAATGCATTTCGTAGTTCAATTTTCAATGCTAAATCTGAAAAACAATGTTTGGAAGCTTCAAAATACAAAGGAGAAAAAAGATTCAACTTTCTCGAAACACGAAGGCTTTTCCCAATTTTGAGACCTTCAGAGTATTTCGAAATTTTCTTCACGAAACCGTAAAGGCTAGAAAGGTGATGTTCTTGATCAGCGTGAAATTCTCGATAGAATGGTGTATAAAAAAGCCAAAAATAAAATAGTGCTCCTTCTTTGAATTACGGGCATCTTACAACTGTTCTTGCATTCCACATTTTTATCCTGGAGTCTTGCTGGAACAGAGATGGGCAGGTCGAGTGTTTTTTCAGTCCCAGTCCACTATAAAGACTGAGTCCGAATCAGTTCCAGTCCACTATGCGGTTAAAATGTTCCAGTCCTAGTCCACGATGAGCTAAAAGTTTCCAGTCCCCGTCCGCTAAGCTTTAAGTCCGATGTCGGCCACAGCATACATTGTTTTCCATTTCTATTCTTTTTATCAGAGAGTAACTGTTTCTTTACATGGCTATAGTAACAAGAAAAGACAACAACAAAATTTTTTGAATGTTAAAAAACAAGAAAAAGATAGGACTTTTTGTTTTCTCATTTTGTACGAAAGTGAAAAGAAAACCGATAATCAATCAATTTGTCTATTGCTAAATACACATACAGACACATCTAGTTAAAAGTCCCTTTTCCAACTACTATCCAATGAGCAGTGCGCTCGTTTGTAAGTTGAATAACTCCAGAACGAAAGCGGCTGGAGACTTGCGGTTTTTAGCATCCGAAAGGGAGTCATATTTTTTATATAAAAATGTCAAATTTTGATTGGTCAAAATTTTCCAGTCAGGAGAATTCTTGATGAACATTTTAAAAACAATATTCCGAAGGCATTCACCATTGGATTTTGGATTTAGGATTTTGATATAACCATTCGATAGAGAAAATTCTTCTCTTTCGATCGGCGTAAGACCGAGTCCGCTAGCATGTTTCGTTCAGGAGTTATAAGCATTTTCCCGAGAGCCCCAAACGGCATTTTCAGTGGTTTTCGGGGTTTTTCGACCATTCATCAAAGTCAAATCGCCGAACAAAGTGTATATTCGGAATCAGCATGCAAAACTGCATCGACTGACATGGCTTTAATCTTCATTTGACGGCTATCATTTTTTCACCACGTACATGATGATAGTTTAGTGACAAAAATGGAAAAAATGAAAGTCATCAAATGAAGATTAAAGTCATGCCACTCGATGCAGTTTTGCATGCTGATTCCGAATATACACTTTGTTCAGCGATTTGACTTTGATGAAGGGTCGAAAAACCCCGAAAATCACCGAAAATGCCGTTTGGGGCTCCCGGGAAAATGCTTATAACTCCTGAACGAAACATGCTAGCGGACTCGGTCTTACGCCGATCGTCTCCCACACGCTCTGCATATTTGCTACACCCGATATATGACAAGATTATTTTGTGATATTTCTTTTTTACTGTTTTGGGCCACTTGAAAATTGAATCGAACGATATATATTTCAAAGATTGAAATATATACTTTCAAATATATATCATTCGATTCAATTTTCAATGCTGATTCCGAATATGACCTTGGTTTTGTCAAGAAGTTAAATTTTGATGAAAAAAATGATGAAATACGAGCTTGATTTTGGGCAAATTCGTCAATTTTTCGATTTTTGATGGCCTCCAAAAACCATGTTCCATACGACCTTTTTAAAAACAAATATCATAGATATATACAGCTCGACGAGCTCTACAAGACCTACTACGTTATTTCTTGGCGGTTTTTCAAAGAGTATAAAGTGGGTGGAACTGTCTGGAAGCACCACAATAATAATAGTACTTTGCGAAAATCCATTATTCTGACTACTATATTGAATGCAAAACCTTTCTGAATATGAGATATTGTTCAGTTTCTTCTGCTCTTTCGAATGAGATGTGGATCAAAATCTTTGAATGAAAATTGTCGTTTTTATTGATAAAAAACTAAAAATGACGATTTTTTCGACTTTTCAGCAAGTTTTTTGGAAAAATTTGATTCTTCCATAGAAAAAACCGTATTAAAGGAGGAAAGGTTTTTCCATACTTAATATTGACTGAAAAATCGATTGAAAATAGTTTGACGGCAAAAATAATTATTTAGAGCATTATCTGTGTTTTGGTCATTTCCAGTTCTGACTATTGTGGGACCATTTTGCTCCCGAGTTGCAAAACTTCTTATACCGTGTGGTTCAATGACTGCTTTTTTAACGAGTGCAGAATTCAGTATTGCATCTATGTTGAGAAGCGACTTATACAAACCACTTTTCTACGATGACACATTCTTTTATCGAATATTATTGTCTTTGTCGCATATGACAAACTTTCTAACAAAAGCTTTGAAATGCTCATCGATTGAATGACGTTCCATGTTCGATGTTTTCACTTGCAAAGATTGAGTATTTTCCACATATATCAACTATATTTCTGCATTTTAGCGCTTAGCGCCAGTGCAGACATGCTAATTTGCCGAATTTAGTATAAACTTTATGAAAAGAGACAGAAACAGTAACAAATGTCCTGCTTACAAAAATATAATCGCAGAGCATTGTACCATGCTAATTGTGAGTTAGAACATTGTTCGTTTAAAAGCAGTCTGATGACAAATGGGAAAGAAGAGACTAGCAACGAACAAAAACGTAATATAAAATAAAATAACGAACAAAAGTAAGCATACGATGAAGGTAGTAACGGACGACAGATACAAAAGATAAGAATATGTGTGATGTGGGAGTGTGTGTATAAGTTACGAAAGCGATATGTTTTTTTATAAAGTCATTTACAGCAAGACATAAGATCGCAAGTTCATCGCGAGAAAAATTGCGTTTTTAACAAAAGTGTTTTCAAGTTAATCTTTGGTTTATACGGCATCGAGATAAAAATGTGTTCAAACATTGTGCTTCCACAAGTAGCACCCAAGCAAAAGAAATGGAGCTAGAATCGGGCGGTTGGAGCTAGATAATACGGTTTTCGACCCGGTTAAGCTAGATCCACCTCAAAAAGTTTAACCTAGGATCGGGCGGTTGGAGAGGTTATAAGCCAGGTCAACCGACCGCTTAACCGACCGATCCAGCTAGCTCTATCTGATCTAGCTCCAACCGCCCACTTAACCGACCGGTTAAGCTAGTTTCTGGTATCAAATAGATTAAACACAGGGAGGTTATCAGCTAGGTTAGCCGCCTACTTAACCGATCGATCCATCTAGCTCCAACCGGGCAATTAACCGACCGGTTCAGCTCGTTCTAGACATGAAATGCATTAGATGCGGGGAAGTTATCAAGTAGATTAATCTACAGGTAAACCGGGCGGTTGGAGGGCTCAGTTACCAGGTAGCTTAAAAAGTAAGAAGAAGGAATATGTGCCTTCAGAAAGATTTTGATTAATTTTTAGAGTTTGTGAAAAATAGGTTTTCCAAAAATCAGATCTCCGGAGACCTATAAGCAACTGCCATGATCATATTCGGCATCAGGTGGTCATATGACAAAAAAACTTAAGTAAAAGGGTGACTTCAGTCATGGAAAATGTATCCATAAAGTTAAGACTGAAAACTTAAGTGGGGCTTGAGTCATTGACGCATTTTTTGAATAGATCAGGCATTTAACGATACGATTCGACGAAAACGACATTCTAAGGATTAGAGAATAAATATTTCGTTATTTCGCGGGTTTTTATCCGAAGTTTGTCACAGTTGTCAACGACTTTTAAAAAGTAAACAAATTACCAACTTAAGTATTTTTCGTGATATAGTTTAAGTCCCCGGTCTTAAGTCAATCTTAAACTTAGACTTAAGTTTTTTCGTGATACGACCTCCAGCATATTCGATAACGTATCATCCACTAGGTTTCATTGCAAAAAGCATTTAACAGTTAAACCGGCTCCCTTGTAAGAGATCGCTTAATTCCCACTATGGACTCATCAGGTTTCTATTATTAGTTTTGAATTTGCGAACTGACTTTCAAGAAAAAAAGTTGTTACCAAAAGTTCGATAAATATTTTTTACCGTATATTTCTTTGGTAGAGTTTTTTTACCGAATGTGTCATTGTGTCAATCAAACTTGTATATATCAGGCTATGCCGATATGTAAGTAAATCTAATTAGATGACTCCATTAAACAAATTCACTTATTTACTGATGATACTTTTTCTATCAATTAAACAACATGCTTAATAGCACTTAATAATAGAACAAAATATGTTTTCATACACTTTAAAACTATACTCTTCAAGGTACATTAATGACTTTTAAAAATAATTATTCAATATGTCATCTCATTAAAGTTACGAGTTTACGCGTTCAAGCCGATAATTGGAAGAATACATTCTCTGCGGTAAATCATTCATATGAATAGTACCACAACAAGACGCTAAAAGTATCGAAATTACATTAGTTCCGGTCTACTATTGTTATTCCGACAAAAATTAAAATGAAGGTCACATAAATGTGCAAAAGTGAGACTTTGATAAAGACATAGAAGAAAAGAAAAAAAAAGTCATTAGAGAAATTCTTTTTTTTTCTTTGTATTAAAAAAGAAGAATAACATCTATTCCGTATTGTTCATTGAAAATTGATGTCAGAAATGCAGAAGAAAAACAAAATGTGAAAGTCAGACAGATTTATTACTTATAATTATGGGTATGATATATAGTCGTTTACTGTCCAAGAGAATACTAGTCTTTCAACATATATTAGCAATTGCACGACAAAAGTCAATACTAAAACCTGTTCGTACGTTTATTCTGAACACTTTACCTCGAAATGTAAATATTAACGATGATTATGATCTAGTCGACTATTTATTATGTGTGGCTATAGAAGAAAATAATTTTCAAGTTGTATGCTGTTGTCTTGATTCAAATAGTATTGATATAAATATGTCAACCGATGAATTACAAAATACATTACTTCATAATGCTATACAAATGAAACAAGTTGATGCTAATATTATAGAATTATTGTTAGCCTATGGAGCTGATGTAAATAAAGAAAATTTAAATAATGAGACCTCTATTTTCGCTCTATTTTATCGTACGAACAATCGATCACCAGAAAGTAAACTAATGATATTAAAAATATTAATCGACGCAAATGTTAACGTAAATAAACAAGATCGTTATGGTTTTACTCCCTTACAATGTTTAATTAGAATGTTGTTAAGAAGGGTAGATTTCACATTTGAACAGATGCAATTAGCAGTTTACTATTTGTTTTATGCAAATGCAAGTAGAACATTAAATGTTCAAAATACTTCTGGTCAAACTACTCTTCATTTAGCATGTTATGATGTTAGTCGAACAGGACCACTAGCATCATTATTTCTTACTTTCGGAGCCGATCCCAAACTTGTTGATAATTTTGGAAGAACTGCATTACACTATGCAGCAATGGATTCTGAAAATATGTCTATAGTACAAATTCTCCACTATTATGGTGCAGAGATAAATGCCAAAGATAACTTTGATCGTACACCACTTTATGAATTATGTGTTCAATCAAAGTATGATGATGCACGAATTATACCCTTCATCACACTATTAGTCAAACTCGGAGCCTATATCAATTGTCGAGCAATTGATAAAACTACTGCTTTACATTTGGCAGCAGAAAAATTCAATGTAACGATTTGTCAAGCATTTGTTGAACTTGGCGCAAATATTAACAGTCGAGATTATCTAAATCGCACACCACTCCATTTTGCTGCCAGAAATCCCAAAAGCGATGTTGCTCGTATGCTAATTGATCATGGTGCCGACGTCGATATACCCGATCAGCGTTTTTCAACACCCGCACATTATGCAGTGATGCTAAATAATTTAAACGTCTTGAAAGTGATTTTAGAACACCATGTTAACTAAAATCTGGAAAGTTTAGTAATCACTAGTATGTCTTCGACTTCTTCTTAAGATTTTGATACAGGTATGCTCGTATTATTTCACTTCTTGTTGTCCTTAATTTTCTGAAAAGTTATCACTTTTAATAAATCGACCCTTGATTATAAGGAGAGTAAGTAATGACTTATTTGAAAGCATAAAAAAACAGAATTTTAAGACTTTCCTCGTTTTAAAACAACGATTTTCCTATGTTTCTCACTATTTTTTCAACCACTTGGCGTTCTATGTGTCGGATTGACAATGGTGGATCTAATTTTTTGAATGTTTTGATGCTCTGTTAACCCCAAACGACCAGATGAAAGCGTCCTATAGAGAAAATCATGTTATTAACACTGTTAAAATATTCGTTTCTTTCGAATGTTTCTTCTCTGAGCTATAGGCACCTCTGGTCGATCAACACCATTCATGAGTACAAGTACAGTTGGTATCTAGTTTCTATTGATTTAAGCATAATACAATTGCTCACGATGAGAGTAATCATTACGCTATCCTGCGTTGGATGTTGAGAGTAAAAAACTGCGTAGACGGAAAATCATACGGATTGTACTCTCCACCTAAATAGTACTTTCTGCTATGAAAATTCTGAGAGTCACCTAGATTTCGTAAGGGTTTTTAAGAAGTCAAATGGTGAAAAATTGTCGTAAAAAAATGGCGTAATCGGTCATGATCTTCTAACATGAATTTTACAGGAACGTCTCAGGAGTAGCCTTCTAATCTGGGGAGGGGTTTACCATAATTGAATGTATGCATTACCTAACCTATTTAAATCGATGATACTGATGTAGAAGTTTTCCTGGAAGGAAAAGAGTAAATGTCGAATAAAGAATACAACGAGTAGTAGATACCAACTTAAGCACCGGCAACCTAGCCCATACGAAGAAGAAAATATCCCTCATGATGTAAAGCAAGAATAGAATAACACCCCCAGAGAACAGCTCATGAATATTTTTTTGTAGAAAAAAATCAGATCGCAGTTTCTCGAGAATCGCGGTCACCCATAACCTCTAGTTTCTCTAATTTCCAGAACTTGTAGTGTTCTACCATCATACATCAGAGTACTAGCTCAGTACAACGCGGTTGCTTTTGAAAACGAGAGAAACGATGCATTTCCGGTGATCGCAAGTCTTAATAAAAATGCGTTTTATCGCGATTCAATGATGAACCTCGTTAGTTTCAAAAATTTCGGTTCCTCGCAATCAAGAACATCGTGATTCTTCCGCTTCCTAGTAGATCGCGATGTAACGTACATTTTTGCGGATAAAGTCTAAACGCGGTTCTAATCAAACCAATTAGTTAAATATTTTTTCTCTCTTTTTTATGCTTTGTTCGTTGATTTTCTTCTTCAGCCTATCCTTAGAAGAACCTTTTGAAAATTTTAAAAGGAAATGGTAGTTTTACTTATCGCTCCAACATTACACATAATTCATGCACAGCCTTTAATGTTTCTGTTTTTGCATTTTACCAAGAGAACAAAAGAAGTAAAGATTTTTAGTTATTGCTGCCATGTGTGTGCGATCAGAAAGAAAAACTCGATTCATCAAGTATGTTCCTAAAAAAGCATTCGTATTGCTGGTATCTTTTTGTTGTTGATAGTGAAAATCTTCATAGCACCAATAAACAGAATGATCTCCAAGTTTGTCTTAGAGCGAGAGTAAATAAACGTATGTCATGGGATTAAGCAAAAATATCGTTTCCAGAAAAATTCACATATTAGATTCTTAATCGATGTACTTTGGTTATCTACCCTAACAAATATATGGCATCATCCGGAAATCGCCGTCGCCGCGGATTCTTATATGTTAAAGTGTTAAAGTGTAAAAGGATAAACGTGCATAACTGAGGGTGAAGTAGTGAGGATGAGGGTGGAGCACTTCTTCACCCACTTCACTCTCACCTCTCCACCCTCACCCTCACTCGCCGCGAGTTCGCGTATGTTAAAGTGTTAAAGTGTTAACGCTAAAGTGTTAACACTTTAACACTGAATCTGCGGCGACGGCGATTTCCGGATGTTATGAAATATATTTATTTAACAATAAAAAATAAATATGATACATGAATATTTATTATATGATCTATGTGTATAAGTATAGATGCGCAAATTAATATCATCTGTGCTGAAAATCATAGAATAAAAGAAATACCGAGGGCAAGAATAAGATTTGAAAAGCTGATCCCTCAAACCCTATACATCTTAATACAATGACACTAAACTGTCGAGCGCTGTGTACAATAAGTATTAAACGTACAATATGCGTTCGTTACTTTCGTTTCCAGTTTATTTTCAGAATAAGAGGAGCAAAGAAAGACATTTTCTTGTGGGAAAATTAAACCATAATGTATAGTTAACTGGAAGTAGTCGGCTTTTTAAGTCGGCTTTGTTTTGCAGTAAACACCTATGCTTAGGAGTTGACAGAGCCCGATTTTTGAATTTCTCATTCAGCACTGTGTTCTGGTGCTTAATAGAACTTTAAAAATGCGAAAAATCCTTGGAAGGTTTCTCAGAAATTCTGATTTCTATAAAAAATAGAAGCATAATTTAAAAATCGGATTCTGTCAACTCCTACCTATAGGTGTTATACACAAATCAAAAAAAAGAAAAAGTTCTTCCGATGTATCGTTACCGAGAATTCCTGCATATGGCGAAAGCCCTAAAGCTAAAAAACAGTCTTAAGAAAAACGCAAAATAAGTTTGGATTCTGTTAAATGCATTTTACTTAAAAATTGTTTGAGCGTTAAATAATGTGAAGATATTTTGCTACAGGTTACCTGTCATGGCGGATCTAACGAACATGTGCGCGATCATGTGCAGCACATGCGTGCGCTTATGCAATAAAAGTGCAAAAATGCCAGACTGTTTTGCTATGGGACTTCTGGTAAACCAGCTCAAAAGCTATGAAAAACCTATCCTATCGGTATAAAAATTATGTTATTAGAAAGTAGCCACTTTGGGCTATCTAACCATGTGCTTTTCTCAAAATCAATATTATTGCCGAAAATCGGCATTTCTGACCCAGGGAGGAGGGGCTTAAGGACTATTTGAAACACAGTCTGTGCTTCCAGTCTATTTGTAGCTGGAGCATGTTCGCCTGACATATAAACGCTACAGACTGAGTTGAGCGAGAACTGTCTCGAAAGGAGAGACAAAGCCAATTTTTTTCTGATTCAAGGCAATGAGTCTTCTTTGGGTTCATTCAACTGACTTAATCATGTGAAACAGGGTCATGTAATTTACAAACAGAATTAGTACGTTTTTTCGAAGTTTTGCTTTTAGGAAAACGAATACCTCCGTGATTTTTTTATATCGAAAATAACATTTCAGAAATTCAGCTAGGTTACGGTGCATCAAGATGATCTTGAAGATCTATTCGTAATCTTTCATATGAATTAACACCTTGTATTTTATCCAAAAATTATATCTTTAACATCCTGACAAATTCAAAAATCTGTTAACACAAGTATCTGTTTTTAAGTATAAAGAACACCATAGAAAAAAGAAAGAAAGAAAAAGTTAGCTTTTTCTTCCTTTCTTCGCGTTTACATCGGAAAATGATTTTCTCCTTGAAAAATGTCCCATTCTACCAAATTTCAGAATTCAAACCGTCCCAACTGTAAAAACATAATTTTTGTTCTCAAATCCTGGACGGGCGAGAACTCGGAAGTCCCGAATATCTCTGTCGACGGATAGAAATTTTTCTCCAATATTTGTCATCTATCTCAAATCCGAGAGCCCAAAGCCGATAACCTCTCGAACGCTTATATCGAGGGTCTGAAGTCTCATTGTTCGATGATCGAGCCCTGGATAAGGGCCTATTTTAGAGAGTACTCGCCGCACCGCTCGAACGACTTTTTTCATCTGCATGGGTAGAACAATAAAACGCTAAAAATCCGCACGTCAAACAGCAATGAGAGATCTGCGGACCTGTCTTAGTGGATGAGAGGGAGAGATAGGCTAACTAACAAAGATAATCACTACCCAAGGGCGATGGAATATGCACCTGATAGTGATGAAATAATTATTAATGCAGCAATATATTTTGTAAATGTAAAAAATGATAATATGAATAAAGCATAAAGTGTAAACTACAAACAAGAAATACAGAAGCACGAGGTCTAACTGTGCACTGACTAGATCGACGAAAAAAAGATGACCAGACTGTGTATGTAGAATGGAGTGTGAATATATATATGCTACTGTACGAAAATATCGAGGTCGAATAACTAATTGTATATGTGTCAACAGAAAAAGACAAAAAGAAAAGAATTGCGTGGCAAAAAAGTGTGTGATCCTAAATTTGGTATATTACATTAACAGTTGATCCATTACGGACAGTATTTGATAAAGTTGTTCGTTTACTCAATGATCTTCGTTCGAAAAAACATGTTTTATCATAGCAACTTGATAAAACTGTGCTGAAATGAGAAGCAGTTGAACTAGCTAATGGGTGCTTCCGCACAGGTCCGCCCACTTTATACACGACCTAAAGCCGGGAAGGTTTTACTATATGCAATCGATAGTCCTACTAAAGGTATGTAAATACTCTTGTCGTGCCATGGAAACTTATTCCGAACACGGTTTTTCCTCGGCTATAAGTTCTGAATTGAAGCGTTTTTAGGGATACCAGAACAGCGAAACCTGACCTTATCTAATATTATCAAACCTTCTCATACTACAACCTGGAAAGAGAATACAAATTTGCATATTTCTATCCGCAAATGAGATTTTTTCCTCTGACAGTCGCAAAGAATTTTTGATTGGAGGACCTTGTCTGCATTAGCAGAGATCAGTCGTTTTATAGTGTGTTGGACGAGCTCAAAACCCACCACAACATAACTTCATTTATATTCAAATGAAAGCGGCTTCCAAGTTTGCAAGTATGACGCAACAATGAAGTCTCTAACACTTTTAACTTCTTCATGGTACGCGTAGCCGTGAGACCTACTTTGGTCCTTCCTGGTCTTCTCCC